TCCCCCAGCAGCACCCCAGAATGAAAATTAAACAGTGCTGAGCTCTCTCTCCAACAGCATGAGGGACAAAAGAATCTCCATGGGTAGAAACCCACACGTTAGTAGATGAAGGGTAAATATTTTCCTACAGAAAGAAATCAAGGGCAATGTGAATATAAAAATAAATGTAAAAATCCGGTGAAATTGTATTCTTGTGTTGAGAAAGACATAACGATGATACCTAGCATTTCGTGGGACCTTACCCTTTTCATGCCATGTTCTCATTATTTTATTTAATTCTTACGATAGCCCAGTAGAGATATTGTTATACCTGTTTCATAGCTGAGAAAAATGGAGGTTCAGATGGGGTAAACGTCTTGGCCAAGGTCGCCAAGCTGGGACGGGAACCCAAATCTCCTAAACCTCAGGCTCTGCTGCGTCACCTGGAGACTGTGGGAGTCTGGGGACCACCTGGTCAGGAAGGGGCACTTGTCGGTCTGTCCTCAGAAGCCTAGAGGAACTGTATTTGTCCCATGAATAAGACAGACAACCATGACAGGACGTAAGAGCTTAAACGGTGGTATCTGAATGTTTCGACAAAAGTAGAGGATTTGTGGTAGTTGGCAAATTAAGAGAAAAGAGCATTCCATTTACTGGCTGAATGTACAACGATGCTCGCGGGTCTGTTACTCCGCCTGCGGCTACTCCACTGAGTGGCGCCTCTCTGGACGCCCTGCGTCGTGGCTCTGGAATGACAGGTCTCTGGCTCCACCTATATCTTAAAAAGCCTGGACCTTCCAATCTTTCTCTTACCAGCTGTGCTCCCTTCCCAACGGCAGACTGTGTGTGGGAACTTCGCCTGCCCATCCCAGCCGATGCCGTGAGAACTGCTCCAGTCCCTTGAAGCAGCAAAGAACACGCAGAATTTTCTCTGCTTAGTCCACACCACGAAGATTTGATTTAACTGAAAGGGGACTTTAAGTTTAAATTCTTGCTGTTTCTACTCTAGAAAGACCCTTGACATCAGCAAGAATCCCCATATTTGCAAATATCATTCTAGAATACCGCTTATCCCACAAAATGCAGCAAATTGTAACTAGAAAATGTAAGTAGCCCCTTCAAATCCTTAATGACTCTACAAACAAGGTACTAAAATCTTTCAACGTGCTAATCAAAATACATTTCTCTTGAGTCAGATTTCTGCGGAGCATCCCGTGTTTCCGGGGCACATCCTCACATCAAAGGTCAACGCCTTCTCAACTTTCACTCGAGTTTTGTCTTTCTGTTGATAAGCGATTCTGGCACAGACAAGAGCAGTCCTCCAGTGAGTTTAGTAATTACTTACTCTTGTTTCTTAAAGGCACCTAGACGGGCTATCACTTCCCAGATCAGAGCTGCCACCAACTCCAACATGCTGCGCTCTTCTGAAACATCTATTTCCCGAGAAGGAACAGGCAGTCTGACGATGTCTTCACTGTCCTCTTCTGTTCTGTTGGTGGCTTCCTTTTGCGGGCCACTTTTCACTGGGAAATGTGACAAGAGTTGCCACCTCATCTCAAGTAGGGATTGTAGAGGGTGTGGTCAGATGTGGTGTGTGACCCATGGCCACGTTCTCCTGCAGCCCGGCTCTCCCCTGCCGCACGCCCACCCTTCAGGCAGCGGGCTTCAAAATCTGGCCGCAGATGAATTACACACAACTGCATGTTTAGGACCTACAGGGTTCCCTGGGAGTACTAAATCCACTGATACCAGAGTTCTTCCGAACTAAAATATTTTGCTTTTAATGTTCCAGTGTTAACATGTGCTTCTTTTAATAATCGCATGTTATCATATTTTGGTCTGTGGTTTCATGCACATCTAACTGTATGTTCATCTGATGTCTGTACATTGGAATTTAACTATTTTCTTCCTATAGGAATATATTTTCCATGTACATTAACCAAGAGGCTGGATATTCCTGCATGTTCCAGACCACTCAGTGATTTAGTGCCACCTAGCAGAGTGCCTGGCAAACAGAGAAGACACAAGATAAACATCCTAAATGAATAACTGTCTTTCTCAGTAGTTTAAAGATATTGAAAGGGGGTGTGGTATGTTTCTGGGCCATAGATCCCAAATCCTAAACCACAATTCTTTATTCTGAATTACCAAGGAAACCACCAAGAGGACTTAAAGAAACAATTTTTAGCATCCTCCACTCAACATCTGAATCAATGATAAAATTGTTAACCAAATGGTTTTAGACCTCAGATTTATAAAGCCAAATGGACATGGTTAACTAACAGTTACTGACTATATCAAGCACAGTGATTGCTTAGGTTAAATGTGTAGATTAGTTAGGAGTTTTGTTGTTTTTGCTGTTTCACGTAATAGAAACTCAACAAACTAGCTTAAGAAAAACAAAGGGGGAAGTACACAGTAGTCTCATGGCTCGGAAAGCTAAGAAGGGAGCTCCCAGAAGGAAGAGCTGCAGGAATGAGAGGCCCCAGGGTTCTCTCCCTGTCTCCCTGTCTCATCCTCCTGCCTGGCTTCTCCTGCAAACAGGCTCTTTCTACATACAGAGCATCACCACCTTGGCAGCCCCAGCAAAAGAAGACCTTTTCCTCTCATATAACAGTCCCAGGGAAGGACTCTAATTGGTCCTGCTTGGTTCACATGCCCAGTGCTTGGGTCAAACACTGTCGACAATAGGACAAGACTCTGTGGTTGGCCAGGCCTGCCTTATGCACCCACCCCCTCAGCCAGTATAGCAGGGCCTGTTTCCACAAGGGTCATGGGAAACCTTGCAAGGCTTAAAAAAAGATTGCTACCACGGCACCTTAAATTCAGCTATCCAAAAAATAATAATGTGGGAAGACCACATATCTCGTTATTTAATATTTATGACAGTATATACTGCATCAGGACTATTCTAAATAGGAATGGATATATGAAAGGGTGAAAAAACTATCCTCCTACATGTGTAATTTGTCCAAAATACCAGTGGAAAAATGTATCACTCAACAATCGACTCCATTGTCTGCAAAGCCCACCATTAGCAATTTCGTCTTTTTGCTTAACATTGAAGCCCAAAGACACTAGTGCATGACATTTAAGTAGATGACTTCAAAAATCTCTTTCAGCCTATGAGTCTATGAGCCTATTAGACTCAGAATACCTATGGAAGAGTAGACAAAGCTATTACATTACTGGACAGTCTCTTGGGCTCAACTGTAACCCCTCCAAATTCATATATCGACGTCCTAACCCCCAGTACCACAGAATGTGACTGTATTTGTATTTTGATGGAGTTTTTAAAGACATAATTAAGGTAAAGTCAGTTCCTATAGGTGGGCCTTAATCCAAGATGACTATAGCCAAGATGATATCCTTATAAGAAGAGGAAACTTGGACACACACAGGTACAGAGGGATGATCACATGGAGACCCAGGGAGAAGATGGCCACCTGCCAGCCACAGAAAGAGGTCTCAGAAGAAACCAACACTTTAGACATCTTGATCTTGGACTCGCAGCCCCCAGAACTGAGACGCAATACATTTCTTTGTTCTGCAGTACTTTGTCACGGCAGCCCTGGCAAATTAATATGGACAGTAAGCCAAGACTTCCAAAGAGGTGGCCGGGTGAGGACTGAGGCATGGTTGAAACAAACTTGATATGGGAGGTGGGGGAGAGCCACGGGTTCTTTTAAGGTTCTTTTTAAGGTCCTATCTTCCTGAGATCCAGGGGCCAGTTCTAGCAAACTGATTAACTGGTGTGTGCTGATAAAGATATTGTAAGTGGGTAACAATTAAGAAAGGGGAGCAGAGAGAAGTGGATGACAGATTTCACCCCCTTTGAAATTTTGCCAGGGCTAAGCCTCAGGAGAGTCTAACAGGACATGGAGTTAGGATTGGCCAGACCCCGGCCGCAGCCGCGACCTGCGGGGCAGCCTGTCTCCTGTGCGACTTCAGGCTTACCTGGACTCCCGACCTGAGTCTCCACTGATCATTTTAGGTCACTGACCTTTGCCCTCTGGCAAACCACCCTGGCCCGGGATGGTTCTTAGAACCAACACTCAGGACCCACCAACCTGTGCTGCTGGGGGAACATTAGGATTCCACCACAAAGCACAGTACACACTTGGGAAAACACATCCACTCATCAGGAAATAGCCAACGCTGCATACCCACTACACCAAAACCTGACACCAAAGGGAAAATATTTTTGTTAAATAGACTGATTGCTAAATGAATGGGGTTTGTGAAAAATCACACCTATTATATAGGACTTTTCAGTTCATAAGCTTCATAATATCAGATGATCACGTTGGCAAAGCAGGGTCTGTAGGGCTGTTAGATGAGATCTGAAAATTGCTTTATTATTCAATATTACAATAATATTTGCCAACATGGAATTTTTTGCTTGTGTGTGCACTCAAGTAAAATTTCTGACCACCATTATTTACAGCCCAAATATATTAATAATCTCTGCATCGCAGATTCCAAAGAAGACAAATGAAATAGTTAAAGAACTCGAGCATTGTGGACCTACTGAATACCGCATTTTACCTTTATGTGCTTTTTTTTTTATTTATCACCCACAGACATTTAAGAAAAAAATTAAACCTGATAACGTCAAAAGATGAGAAAGGCTAAACTCAGAGAAATAAAGGAACCATAAATCAGGAAAACTTTGGAGCTGCAGGAGAGACACTTTAATTTTGTAGACAAAAGACTGCATTAAGGAGGAATAATGCAATAATCAAAGGTGAACGGATCTCTATTGTCTGGCATCTTCCTCTGTGGGAATTTTCCCACCCCTGACAGCTGTAAGGGGGGCAGAGGCGCCGAATGTGGCTGCGCCTTTATTCTCTCGCCCCCTTCCTCCCCGGCCCCTCCTCTCCTCCGTCAATAAACGTCTGCAATCATATTCTTGAGCTCCTGTGTGATTTCAAGGTTCATCTCTTCCATGCAGCTCAAACACTAATTATCCCAGCTGTAATTAGTAAGATAATTAAATACTGGCTCACTCATCACTCTACCTTGGGTCGGGTCGTGATTCTCCCAGAAGACCTTGAGCAGTTCCTCAAAGCTGATGTGTTCTGGCTGGTACACGACTCGGACGACTTCTGCGTGGCCAGTTTTTCCTTTGAAAGAAACAGAACATACAACCCAAATTTACGGACAACAGAAATTTATTGCAAGGTATTGGTTCTCAAAAAAACCCAACAGAACAAAAGCTGGAACTCTTCCCTCTGAAGGAAGGGTGGAAACGTGGTTGGACTTTAGCTAACAGGTTCATCCTAAGTCTCTGCCACCGGCTCTTGTTCTAGAAGAGCACACGGTTCTCCTCCAGCAAGCGTCCTGCGATGGGGACTGCTACATTGTGCTCTAATATATTTTTTTTTTGTGTCTGTGAAAAAACAAACGTGGGTTTTCATTTTTCTATCTCACTCTTATGAAATCGTATAGATACAACCTGACATAGTGCTCGAGATTTGAAACTGTGCAAAGGGGAAGGAGCCAATTTATTTTTATCATCTCCTCGTGCTGTATGCAGTCAGCTCAACTGCACTGCAGTGAGACAGTGCCAGAGAGAGAAACCTGTAAAAAATAAATGTAAAAAAAAAACCAGGCTGATAACTCATTCGCATTAGATAAATTAGTTAATGGAGGGACACATTTGCTGTGCCGTTAACGCTGAGGCAAGGGTCAGATGCAGATACCCAGAGGGGCAGTAAGCGTCTTCTCAGCCTAATTCGTCTCCACGGTGGACAACCACTGCGGCATCTGTCTCCGTGCAGGACCCGCTGCAGGCAGGCCCCTTCTCAGAGGGGGTCTCGAAGGTCTGTGGATCGGGGAGGTGGGTGTTTGCAGTACCACTTGTACCTATCGAATGCATGCCTTATTTTATAGTCTCAGAACGTGGTATTAATAAATAATGGACATCATCTCTATATTTAATTTGTTTTCCATCTCTTTTCAGTGACCTAGTGCAGTAAAGAATTTGGCCTTGCCCAAAGAGAGGTCTGGCCTTTGCCCTCAGCTCCTGGGAGATAATCCGTGTCATATCCGATAGCAATGTCTTGTTTAGGCCAGGGGCTGGCCATTCTGGATCCTAGGATGGGGCCAGCTGTACCCAACAGTCTTAGTGCAAGTCTCAGGGGACTGGCTGTGCCAAGAAGGGCAATTGTGTGAATTAGGGTGGGGGCTTTAGATCACATGGTATCAGTCAGCCTGGAGTCTGAGTTCATCCATGTGGGCAATCGTTCGACTGATCAATCAATCACGCCTGCACAATAGAGCCACAATAAAAACTCTGCACACCGGGGCTCAGGCAAGCTCCTCTAGTTGGCAATACTCTCTGCGTATTATCACACATCAATGCCAGGAGGTTTATACTTCTGAATCGGTGAGAGAGGAGAACAGAAGCATTTGAAACCTTCCCAGACTCTTCCCTATGCATCTCTTTCTTTAGCTGATTTTGAGCAGTATCCTTTCCCTGTAATAAATTGTAACCATAAGTATCCTTCTAGCAAATTAACCAACATGAAGGCAGTTTTGGGAATCCCCTAGGCTTGCACCTTAGTTTGCAAGAGTATTTTCCCATATATTCGTTATCTCACTTTAATTATCACAAGTGTCCAATGGTGTAGGCAGAGAAGGCAGAAATGCTCATTTTACACACCAGAAAACTGAGATACAAATACGTTAGATTTGTCCAAAGTCACATGGCTAGTGAATCTGGGGGACATAACCTGAAAAAAAAAATACCTTCTGACAGCTTGTCCAGGGTTCTATTCAATACATAAAGGGAAAGAGAGCAAGGTGAACATTTGGACATGGGTCCCAAAAAGAAAGGAAATTTCTTTATTATCTTTAATTTGTTAATGTTTAAAATTGTTTTGCTTGTATAGACAATATTTGCAAATAATTTGAAGCTTAGAAAACATAAGGAACTATTTAAAAGAAAATAAAAATCACCTGTACTCCTGCCACAAAAGCACTATCAATATTTTTTATGCATCTCTTTCTGAATGTGCTCCAGATGCACGCACACACGCACACACACACACACAGGCACATACACGTTCCATTATAATCATTGTGGCGTGCTTTTCCCACATACCAGTACATTGTGAGTGTTTCCCCATGTCACTGAAATTTTTAGAAAACACCATTTGTAATGACTACATAACACTCCATTAGACGGTTGTCCAGCTACTTATTGAATCATTCCCTGTCTTTGGGCAATTAGATTGAAATGTATTTTTTCCCATGAATGTAAATATTTTTCCATGCTTCTGCGGCTGCCTCAAGCCATAGTTATATAAGTGAGATTTCTAAACCAACGTTTATGAACACTTTGAAATTTCTTAATGCATAGTTCCAAACTGCTTCTCAGCAAAGTTGGCCCAATTTTCTCTCCCCGTCGGCAGCATATTTGAGGGCCAGCCTCAGTCACTATTATCATGTTTTTAATCCGTAGCAAGTAATAGCTGAAAGACAGTATCCTATTGTTTTATTTAGAATGAATTATTAGTGAGGTAAAAATACATTTCATGCTTGTTTGCAATTTTAATTTCTTCTTTGCTCTAATTTTTGTCATGTCCTTTTTATATTGGGTTATTAGCTGTTTATACTAATCATTTATTATTGATTAGTCTATATAGTTTTCATTCAAATACTACAGTCATTCAAGTTAGCATCTAAATAGATTTTACGCCAACAGATATGAAAATAATAAAAGTGAACACTTTGGGAAGAACATACAGTAAGTATAATAATCATGTTATTGAAAATCACTTTTGATCTACTTTAACATCTTATTTTGTAATTTGAAATGTTTAGATGATTCAACTACAAAAGCATTAAAACTCTGAATCATAAAAATGGCAAGATATTTTATAAATATGATGATATATTTGGCATGAAAGGCACTGAAACCACACTAGAAATATAAGCAAAACATGTAAACAGGCTATGGACACGGGAAGAAATACATGTAAGTCAAGACATGCAAAATGCCAACATATAAAAGTAAATGCACATTAAAACATTAATACACCGTCTCTAACTACATTTTGTAAAACTGCCCAAAAGCATTCTAGTGCTGTTGAGGATACAATGAAATGGCCTTACTGGGCCAGTGACGGGGTAAAATTACTAAATCGGGTTTGAAACACCATTGGCATGTGAGTATCAAGAGCCACAGAGGTTCTCATTCACCTGGATTAAGTGATCCAGGAAATCTATCTCAAAGGTGTAACCTCAAATAATGGAAAAGATACACACTCACGCAGGAAATTCATGCCATCATTATCACAGTGGTGGTGGACTGGAAGACGTACACAAGTCAAACAAAAAAGAAACAAATTAGGGCATAGCCACATGATGAAATATCACGGAACCATTAAAATACCACATCCAAACCATAGAGAAAGCTGTCATACTTAGTGAACAATAACAATTGCACCCACTTTCCCTACTTGATGACACTTAATTGCTCACAACAGTTTTTTTCTATTGTGATAAAATGCACATAACACAAAATTCACCATGTCAGCCACTTTAAGTGTACAGTTCAGTGGTGTTAAGTACGTCCACACTGTCGTGCCACCATCACCACCGTCCCTCTCCAAAACTCTGTCATCAGCCGAAACTCTGGATCCATCAAACACTAAGTCCCCACCCCTCTCTCCCCGGCCCTGACAGCCACATTCTCCTTTCTGTCTCTGTGAATTTGACTGCTCTGGGGATCTCATATAAGTGGAATTATACAGTATTTGTCTTTTTGTGACTGTCTTATTTCACTTGGCATAATGTCCTCAAGGTTCGTCCATGTCGTGGCATGTGTCCAAATTTCCCTCCTTTTTAAGGCTGAATGATACATATTCCAGCCTGCGTGTGTGCGTGCGTGTGTGTGTGTGTGTGTGTGTGTGTGTGTGTACCACATTCTGTTTATCCATCCATCCATCGGTGGACACTTGGGTTGCGTCTACCTTTTAGCTGGTGTGAATAACACTGCTATGGAAACAGGTATACAAGCACAACTCGCAACAATTTTGCGACAGAGATGTGGTCCCCATCTTACAGATGAGGAAACCAAGGTCTCCCCACAAGTTTTTCACAAACAACATTCCACAGCCGTAAGTAGCAGGGTCCAGTCACAAGTCAACCAGGTTTTAACCAGAGGTGAAGCTCGAGCTCAGGCTGTGACCCTGAGCCAGGCTGAATGGAGACACCTGAAGCCACCAAGGGACAGCAAATGTCACACAGGCTGTGGCCCAGATGAGACATCACAGCATCGCAGTAAGTGACTCTCAGGCCGTCGAGAACATTGTACAGGGTTAGGCTGTTGTTTCATGACAGGAAAGATTTCCACTCACCAGCAAACACCTCCAGACATAATCTGGCACTGATAGAATATTATTTGTGGAGCGGCTTAACGAAGCCTGGTTGTTTAAGAGAAACTCCTACCATTCAAATGCAAGATGCATTTGCATCGACAAACAGCACAGAGATGCCCTTGCCCAACTCACCTTTAAGTCTCTTTACTTTACTTCTCTGAAGTAAAAGAAGCTGTGTAAAAATACGCAGTGCAAATGATCAAAAGGATTAAAGGACTCAGAACCTCTTACGGAAATGCCCGCACGTTGCAGGACCTGGTCGGTGTGCCGGGCTAATTTCATTCCAGCAACCGACCTGCAAATACTTTCCTGTGTTTCCAGAGATAAAAGGCCACCTCTTAAAAATACTTCGAGCTGTGTCTTCCCATAACGTCGTGCAAATAGCACCATGGATGTGACGTGCAGACGCGCTTGTTAACAACTCACAGCCGCGCTGTAGGTGCTTCAACGTTGCTGCTCGGAAGTATCTTGAAAGGAAAAATGGAGAGGGTGACCGTCTCTCTGCGCATTTCCCTCCGGTGCCTTACCCCCCAGGCCCAGAGCTAAATGAACCTTTAGCTAAATGAACACAGACGGGTCGATTATGGACAGCCGTTCATTTCAAGACAAAACTTCCAAGAAGAGACATATGGGCGTGTTTTGAGAGCAGAAAGTCAGGCATTCTGGGGTCATCTGGCTATGTGGAAGCCAAGTCATTCATGGAACCAGGTGCTTTTAAAGAGAACCCCAGATAAGTT